ATACTGTTAGTACATTTTGTAGCTGATGCTGAGATCTGAGGATTTTTTATTAAAATAGGTCTGATTATCAATATCAGCTAACAATAAAACTAAAATCTATTAATATATATTATTTTTAAATAACTGTATCTTTATCTATATATATATAAATTTATTATGAATTTTATAAATGACTTTTAAAAGCTTCATTAGTAGGCATTTATCAAGAAGAGCCAAATAAAATAAATAATAATATAAATATATTTTTAAACATATTTCATCATAATTTATTGATACAATTAAAAGGTAATAGCATTTCAACTTTATGAATAACAATAATAAGTATAAAATTTAAATTTATTCTATGAAACTTCATATTTGATTTTAATAGTGCATTGACAATAAACAAGCAATATTTGAACAACTATTCACAAGTTCTCCAGGATCAATATTAGAAGAAAAATTAGCAAAAGTGCATAAAGATCAAAGAAAAAAAGCAATGTTTATTAATAATTATACTGTTATGTCTATAATTTTAAAGTCAAGATTACATATAATCAAGATTTAAATATGTGAAGAATTTTATTTAACCAAAGAAGTCTTATTTTTGTAGTTAGCATAATAAAAATTATTGAAAACTATTTCTACATATATGTCAATAAAATAAATAATAATGATATAATTAATTTAAATATTGAAATTGTAAAAATTATATACTATTAATATCAGCAAATTCAACATAATCAAAATCTATGTTTACTTATTAGAAGATTAAAAATGTAGAAACTAATTCTAATATTAGACCATCTAATAATTTTGTAAAAGATGTTTAAATAATAAGTTTAATAATGATATTTTAAAAAATAATAAAAAAAAAGATAAAAAGTAGTATTAATAAAAAATCACAAGATATATAACTTATAGTTTAGTTAAGAAAATAAAAAATTACATAGTTCTGATATAGAGAATAATAGTGATAAAGAATAGTATAAATATAAAACTATATATTTTTGTTTTTTTTTATTTTATAAATCATAAAATTTTATGTTAATAATAAATAGCAAAGTCTTATATATTAAGTTTTAAATTTTTTATGTAATATATTTTAGTTGTGCCAAAACAGTTTGGGATACATCACTAATACTAACACAAATAAATTTGTAAAATACAAAGTAAGCACTAAGTGATTTCTCATTAGAACTGATATATAATATACTAGTATAATATAATATAAAATACTTTATTTAAACAATTAAGCACATATTATAAATAGAATTTTTTGTAATTATTATAAATTTCTATTTACATTATCTTTAATAAGTTTCAATACTTTCTTCTTGTTGATTTTCACTTTCCCAAAACCTACTCAAAATACCATTTCCCTAATTCTATAATCCTTTTTCCTGACAAAGCATAATTTCTAACTATACATGGGGTCTTTGCCTTGAAACTAACTTTACAGTATCATATACTATAAGGTCATTTTTAAGGCAAAGACCTATATTTCACTGATAGAAATTTTTTACTGAATTTTTTTTCCTGATATAACCAATTTCCAGTAATCTGAATTTCTAAAAAATTTTTATTCAACAGACTTTTTTACTAACAAAACTTTTTCTCCAAACTCATTAAGAATTTTTTCTAAAACCTTTTTATTGACAAATATTTTATAATATATTTTTCCAGAACAATATTTCCTCAAAAAGAAATTTCCCAATAAAATGCCTTCTTAATTGAACAAATTGTATAAATCAGACCAACATTAACATAAACTAAGCTCACTTTGTCAGTGAAATAGTTGTTAGTAAAATTGTTGTTAACAAATTAGTTTATATCTTTTGGGTTATCAGATAACTCAGAATATATAAAAATAACTGTAAATTCAGTAAACATCCTTCAGTAAAAGTGCTTTCAGTAATATATTTTAAAAGTAATAGATGTAAGAAAAAATGTAATATTCAGAAAGATGGCATGTCAGTAAAAAATAGATATTTATTTTTTAATATTTGGTGAAATAGAAATTGCAAATAAATAACTAATTAGTAAAATTTATTATCAGTTAAATAATATTTCAGTAAAATGAGATTTTTAAATTAAGTCCTGTTAGTAAAATGAGATATTAGTCAGTGAAATAGCATTTCAGTAAATTGTTTTTGAGAAGTTAACCTGTAATCTTTATTCCTTTATTAGTGTGTTACCCTTTTCAGTTTTATTACCTTTCATTAGTTTTGTCACCCATCAAGAAATTTTTTAAGTTGATAAGTGATAATTGCTAACAACTAATCAATTATTATCAGTTAAATTTAATCAATAACAGTTAACGGTGGTGTTTGCTATCAGCAAATATCCTATTGATTTTAATTTATATTGTTAATAATCAATAATTTTAATAATTGATTACTATTGATAAATTATTTATTGATAACTATCAATAACTATCAATAACTATCAATAACTATTAATAACTATCGATAACTATCAATTTTACAATTTCAATTTCTATCAATAACTATAACTATCAATTTTTACTATATCAATTTCTATCAATGGGCTTGATAACTATTGATTTTTATATATTGATTTCTATCAATAGACATGATAACTATCAATTTTAATATATCGATTTCTATTGACAAGTATAATAGCTATCAATTTTTATTTATATCAATTCCTATCGACATGGGTGTTACTAATAGCCTTAAATAGCAATCGATATTTATCAGTTTAAAAAATTTCCTGATGCCTTTCATCAGTTTTGTCACCTCTTGTTAGTTTTGTCACCTTTTGTCAGTTTGTCACCTTTTCTCAGTTTTGGCATCTTTTGTCAGTTTCATTATTTAAAATTTTAATTGATAAAAAACGAAATTAGGCTTGGCATTTCATTACCATGAAACCTCAAGTTTCGTTGAACAACTATAATTACAATACATACACTTGTCTAGTTTAAACAATATGAAAAGATCAAATTTGATATAGACAAGACATCTATTTATTGAATGTAGTTTGCTTTTTAAAATTCATACTTATTCTCCATTAAATTGACAAATTTTACTTTCGCATATAAGTGAGTTATAATGCTATATACTTGCCTAGTTCAGGCAAGGCATCAGTATAAACCTCCAATTTAAATGAATATGTTTAGTTATGCCCATAAATTTGCGAAATTCGTTTATCATTATAGTAGAATAGTGAAAAAATTTTTACAATCTAGATGATCTCTATTTTTTAACTAAATATTTCTGGTATGTAGATTAATTGGATATCACCGACAATCATTTCGCCGACAGCTCATTTAGCCAACGTCACGCCAAGTGACAATTTACTAATAATATGTGCCTGCAACTAATAAACGCTAACGCTAACCCTATGTGATGTCGGCTAAATGAACTTTCGTTGAAATGATTGTCGGTGAAGTGAGCAGCACCGGATTAAACTGCCTCGGGTCGTCCCATAGCCGACCCATGATTGACCTGGCCCGACCCTAGTCATGCTAGGGTTTTTACCGAACGCCCCTTGCACTCCCAAATAATTGTTCGCCCCTGTAGTAGTGACAAATAGTATGGAGTGACATTTAGACATGTTACATTAAAAACATTAAAGGCTACGTTCCTAAAATTCACACAAGTGCCACACCTAACATAACGTAATATGAATTGTATATCATTTCTTTTTAGGTCTTTTTAAGGCTAGAATTTACAGGAGTGAATAATTTTTTGTGGGAACGCTCGTTTTTACCGCGGGATCATCTCATTTGATCTGTGTAACTTGAAAGGAGGAAATGGTGATCTGCGGTGGTCGCTGCCTCTGGCTCTTTCGAATATGTCGTCCTTTTACATGTCATTAAGAATCAAGAGTTATAAACTCTTTGGATAATATTGTTTAAATAACCAACAATGTCGTAAATTATATTTTGAAGACAAGTCAAAAGATTTTCTTAGTGAAATCATAGAATTCATAAAATATAAATTTATTGAAAGCAAAATTCCACTCAGACGATTAATCAGTCTAATAGCTCAGATTGTTTTTGCAAAAGAGAAATTGTAACCGTTATTGTGGTGAGATAGAAGTGAAAAGGGAGATAAGAATTCATTATTATCAGTAATCTAACGAGATAGGAGATACTGATACATTATTTACACTAATGGATTCGCAAAATAAATAAATAAATAAATAACTACATATGACATACCAATCAGGAAAATTTTTTCTATTCATTTCTGCAATTTTCTGTGAAAACACGGATTTTTACAGCATCAGGAAAAATTTTAGTGCAAATCTGCAAAATTTTTTAAAAATTAAAATTCTGCGCAGAATTATATTTATTTTCTGTGAAAATAGCCACCAAATTTGAAGGTTTTCACAAATTTGCAAAATTTTCGCGAGTTTGCGTAGATCTGCACTAAAAAAAATTTCCCGATGACCCACCTCAAAGTATTAAACTTTACGAGCAAGTTCAGCTCCGGAGTTTTTCGACCAAAATGACAAACCAAAAAATTGATCTGAGCGAGTATAATTTATTGTATAAAAATTTTGTAAATTTGCGTAAATCTGCAGAGACACCAAATTTCAATATCAGCTATAATATTTAGTTTATACTAAATTTAGTTTATACTGATATTAACAACTTACATACTTACATGTAAGTTACACATTTATAACTTTTATTGAAGGTTAAAAACCATTGCAAATTTACTTTATGATATTCTTTACAATGTTCACGTTTTTAATGTATAAAGAGTCATTGTTTGATATTATAAAAGGATACAAGCATTAATGTGTGTATATGTGTGTGTATTTTTTAAATATTAAACAAAAATTATCGTTGACAAATATGTTGCAGAATATATAAATAATGATTAATATTTTATCTAGTAACTATCTTAAATAGAAATAATAGTAGATTCTAATCTAAGTAGACGATTTTTTTTTTTAACCTCGAGATAACAATCACCGAGGACATTATGTGATGCGGTAAGTTGAATTTAAATAGCTCTACTATTATTCATAATTATTAATGATATTTAATAAGCCCATTCTCCTTTTTCTTGAATCGCACATCTTCTATAAATTAAAAGTCCAAATAAGCCTGTTGCTATACAAGTGATTATTATAGTTATTATCAGCGGATTCACGCTTATTGTTGGGTTATTCGGATAGTCGGATGGCTTCAAACTTGGTGCTACAAGATTTTATGTAGTTGTAGTTGTTATTGAATAATCTAAGGTATTGCTTGGAAATTAACAAGGGTTCATACTTGTAAAACTGTTTCCAGGAAGTGTCGCTATAGGTGTTGCAGAGGTAATAATTGAGCAATTTTTTGCTCCGCACTTCGAACACGCAATACTATAACCATATTCACAGGTTCCACCAGTAAGATTACATTCGAAAATATTACACGGATTACATCCTGACCATTATTTTTTTTTTTGAATAAATAAGGATTTAAAAAAATATTGACAGTGCAGAAATTACTCACCTAGCTGGCTGCCACAATATTGTCCTTGCGGAAGTTTAGGACATTTACATGATGTGCTATAGTTGCAAGTTGGATATATTATTTTATCACAATCAGAGGTAACAAATGAAATAAAAAAGAGTAAAAATAAGAACAAGAAATGCTTGGAATCCATTTTAAAAAAAAAGAAATCGAATATATAAACATAAAAAAATAGGATAGGGAGGAGTGAATTAATATGGCTCATACTATTAATAAATTGATTTTTCATGGGTTTCACACTATTTTCATGCTTATTGCTCATCCCGGGTTCGGAAATATCCAGAAATCTTTATATTTCAATTTTTGATTATATATATATATATTAGTTAGGTGCTGCGAAAAGGGACGAATCGACAATTTTTTCAAAAGATCTTTTTTTTTACATAAATCAATTTAAATAATATTAGGATCATTTTCACTTAAACACAAATGTAGTTGTGTTAATAAAATTTTGCAATATAGCTTCTTAAAGTTTGTATTTTCTTATGATTTATTATAAGATTTACAACATAAAAATTGATTTTCTGAGAATCTTTGTTTTTGTCAATTTCGTCCCTTTTCGCAGCACCTAGCCCATATATTGAATTTTTTAACTTCTGTTGAGTTGTCTGTAGAGATGCTAAGAAACAATGTAATGCTAAATTGTCGCACACTATAGCTTATACTTATTGCATGTGACTTTAAAAAATACTAGTTATTTCCTTGTGATTATTTAGCATCACATGGTTTTCTAGTCATCAGTAAAACCGGTGGCTAAAAGAAAAAAGGAAAGAGGTGAGAGAAATTTAATGATTAATAAACTAAATAAAATGGTTTAATCAAAAATGGCGAATTCATAATTTAACTTGTTAATCATTGTAATTTTTTTTCCTTTTTCATTTCTTTTATTGTTTCAACTAACAACTTTTTTGGCAATTCAATGGAGTTAATTTATTACGATGCAAAATAATACATAAAAGACATATACAACAATCATGAAAGGAGTGTGAAATACTGCCCCAAATAGTATAGTATACTGATTATCTAAAAGATTTAAAGTTATTTCTCTTAAACTCAATTATACAGTTATATGCATTCCTAATTGCATAATAGCTATCGCTACTGTAATCTGGAAATTTTCACCTCCGTTAAATTTCCGGGTCCACGTGCATAAGCTGTAGTTCGTCGATCTCTTGACATTTCTGGATTTTCAATTAATTTGATCTATCGCATTTTTGATTAGTTTGATTTATTTCATTTATTTATAACGCACCTATGGTGGGTTTGCACCTATTATTTGTTTTTATATATTTTTCTGCTTTTATAAGTTTTATATATATAATTTTTAGCACAAATTTTCATATTGAATTAGTATTTAGTGTTAGAATTAAGGTTTAGGAAGGGTTTTTGGAGACGTAGAGATTTTACTTAGAGTATCGCATATTAATTAAATTAGCAAGTTTTTAAGATAATGCAACATAGGTGATAAACACCACAGGTCGTTTTAGTAAAAGTGATTTATTTAATTGCATAATATTCTTAAAATAAAGGACCTTTCCGCCCCACCGAAAGCATCAGTTAGTTGTTGTGTTTACAACTAATTGTCTCTTTAATGACCAATGTACCGATACTCTACTAAGTTCTTTAGTAGAATCATCATTATCAACCTGGCTGCCTTGCTCACTTGCCTTATCGTGTACCCGAAACATTGATGATTGAGCCTTGACTCATCCACTCACCAAATATAAACGTCTTTTTCGATAGGTTGTCTTGGTTTTGTGGCTTGTTTGGTTGGATTGGGAGTCACCATTTCTCGTGTAACAATACATATTCTGTGTAATCGATAAAATGATTTAAACTACACTTCTATGAAATTATAATACATCTAAAAATTCCAAACTAACCATTTTCCTACAGTAGACAATAGTCAGGATATGCTATTTATATTATGCTTATTAAAGTTTTTTCGCACATAATGTGCATGGATAATTATGTTAATAATTAAAACTTAATTGCAATTTATATTTAGAAAACAGTTTGCCGTAACTTTTTATATTGTCGTATAATAGATTACAACAATTCGCTTGCATAAAGTAAGATAAAGTAATTGGTTTATTAGAAAGTGATCAAACACTTGCATAAAAATTTAAATCAAAAAGAGTTTAAGAATACTATTTTTTAAAAAAATTAAATTACGTTGAAACATCAGTTGCATTTCTTTATTTAGATAATCTGAATTTGAACCCTAAATTTACTTAATAACAGTATTCATTTTATTAATTATTAATAAAATATGTCATTCTCTGATATACTAACTGATATCCGTATAATTTATTAATTTGATATAATAATTATTACCCTTAAAATGATTAATTCAGGATCTGATTAAAAAGGCCATCTCCGCCGATCCGCTGGAATGGATTTAGTAAAGTCGAAATTTTAATAATTTATTATTTAATAAAAATACATCTTGTCACTAAGGTTAAAGATTTATTAACTATATTAAATTTAATTAATTACATACTATACATATATGGAATATTGCTATTTAATGTCTAAGCACACAATTACATCAAAACCTAATAATCCTATAATTTTAGTTACATGAACTCAAGAAATAAAAATTTGTCGTTAGTATATTCTATATCTTTTTACAAACTTGGAATACTTCATAATTATCTACAGAGAAGTAGTCTTCAGTTTTTCTTATTGGTTTCTCATAATTATCTTGCTTGCACATGCAACCATTATCATTAAAATTATTACCCATTTCTAAATCAGTAATACCAAAACTAAAACCCAAATCTTTATTACACCAAACAGCATGAATAGGATCTTCAACTCGACTAAGAATAGAATTTCTCACACTTCCATTTTTTAAAGAAAAAATAAAGCTATCATTTGTTGCTTTCCATTCACCAGAAACTTTTTTCCATTCAACAGGATTAAATCCACCAAGAATTTCATCCGATCCATTAACTTTTAAAACAACTACAGTAAAAGATATTCTATCACATGTATCCCAAAACTTTTTAAATGAAAAACCATTTTTAGATCCTTGAAGTATCATTCTAAAAGTATAAGGAATTTTATTTACGCTATATAAAGTAGGACGCTTATCAATCCATGAAGCAATTTCAGCAATATGTTCTTTAGTAATAATAGCTGAAGAAGGAAAATCATTTTTAGCAGTAGATTTGATAACAGGTTTTGCACGAGGAGGTAAGATAATAGAATCAATTGGAAGGCTTGGTGCCATAAATCTAGCTTGAATATCGGTCCATAAGCTTTGTTCAAGTATTTGGTTATAAGGACGAACTTTTTTTAAAACATCTTCACCAGGAATTTGAAAATAACGAATTAAAGGAAGGCAGTTATGAAGAATAGATTTCAAAGTTTTAAAATCCGACACGTCCCACTGATCTAATGATTTAGATAAAGTAGAATTTTGGGAAATTCCCCATTTAATAAGGTAATCCCAAAGTCTTCCTTCATCCATTGGCAATTTATCATCCTTTAAAATTGAAATAAAAATACTTTCATTAAGAGAGATAAAATCATCTGATTCAAACATTACATCAGGATCGTTTAACATTATATTAGCACAAAATTGGCGTAATTCTTTAAAGTTATTATTTTGAAAACTAATTTGATAAGCTTGAGCAAAATTTTGTTGAATCCAGGAAGTACTACTCTCAATTAAGTATGTTTGAAGATATTTTGATAATTCTTCAAGTTTCAAATTACGTGATGTAATTAAAAGTTCAAAGATTGTTAATACGTCAATTTCCTTGAGCGAAATTGCGCCACCATAAATATATCTGAATAATAAATTATAATAATATATGTTAATAATTAATATGTTGACTTTCAATAAAGAGAATAAAAAAATAAAATATTATATATTTTATTAAAACTTACTTAATGATAATATCAAAAACTTTAATTGAAATATCTGGCTCTTTAATTTCTTTAATATTGTTATCATTAGGTGATATATCCTTCAATTGCTGATAAAAGTATGGACATCTATATTGTAAAATAATTGAATGCGCTTTGAAAGATTGAGTTTCTACTTTTCCAATATTAATAATAACATTATATTCATCGCTATTCTCTAAAAGTTGTGTATAATCATGAGATAATTGATCAAAAAATTTAGCAGTCATTTTTCTTTCTTTATTAATTTGAAAAACTTTTTTCAATGCGATTCAGTTTAAACGGACAATCATAAATATCATTTTAGCATTAATCATTTGATCATAATATTTATAAAATGTTTGTAGTACGATTATAATTATAAAACCGATTTGTTTCGACAATTTCGTTACAAATTATTGTGGTTTGTAAAAAAGGTGTAACCTCAGTAAATCATAATGTTGCTTAAATTCAGTAGAGTTTTCGATTCTAAGAGAATTTTACAAATTTCAAAATTAAATATAAATATTGATGATTGAATAGACAATTGAGAGACTCCTACTATCATTATCATGGAAATCAAGGAGTAGCTGGTGGTAGAATTAGACGAAGGAAATTTCATCAATAAATCGCTGATCATTTTCATTGTTAAAATTTCCTTTTTTGAATTTTATCATAGTTACACCTTTTTGTAAACCGCAACAAATCCGCTTTTCAATACAAATTACAGTGTGATGAGTACAAATAGCTTCTTATTTCAGCATATCATTTTAATATTTATACGTAGCTTAGTTTACCATCATAGGCCATAGACTTTACCGGCATTCTACTTTGCCAAAGTTGTTGCATTTCAAATTAAATAACATAATATCACGTTAGCTGGCAATATGTCAAAATAATGTTAATAGTATGGCAATATCATCATCTCATTCTTATTTACATCCTACAATTTTAGTTGCTGGTAGCTGTTAAGAGTGTATTCAGAATTCAATTTTCTAACAAATGAACATTTTAATATACATCAATACGTATCATAGCTTTTCTATATTTTAAATATAATAAAGTTAAACCTCATTCTTTGAAATATACACTGTTAAGCTGTTTGCACATATTGGTAATCCTTAACATTTTTTAGAATCAAAACAAACTACCAAAACACAAATAATAAGAATATAAATTAAGTAAGAAAAAAATATTTATCTCTGTAATATAATGGGATTAGAAATTATCAAAGTT